GAAACAACTGCATGCCCTTGAATCAACTATGGCCGTCACCTCCACGGTCCTTTCTGGAAGCTGAAAGGAGAGGGGCACCACTAAGTATTGGGACGGACTGACCTTGCCAATAGCCAGAGAAGAAAAAGAGGTGCACTTACTCATTTTCTGAGGGCAGGATCGTACCATATGATCGGCTTCACCGCAGTAGAAGCAGAGGTTCAGAGAGCGTCTCCGCTGGCGTTCTTCTGGCGATACTTTAGGCCGAGCCAGGCCTAGTTGCATTGGTTCCTGCGCATCTCCTGGAAGTGGGTTCTGGATCTTTGTTCTGGTTTGTTGGCTGGGGCCTGGAATTGGACCCCATGCATTTCCGTGACCCTGACCGGACCTCTCCAACCTGCGTTCCCGCAGTCTACGGTCTATTTGAATCGTCAGGGCTATTAGGTCTTCTAGTGACTCGGGAACCCCCACTCGGGCCAGCTCATCCTTCAAGGGCTCTGACAGACCCATACGGAACTGGTGTCGCAACGCGAACTCGTTCCAGCGTTTATGTGTCCCCCATCCAACACCTAAAATTCAGAGGCGTATTCTTCTGCCGCCCGGCGGCCCTGTCGAAGCGTGGATAACGTTGCTTCAGCAGAGGCTGCCCGCTGTGGATCATCATAAAGGATGATAGCTTCAAAAAAAAAAAAACGCTGACCGTTCCCAGGTGAGGGTCATGGTTTGCCCTTAACCGATGGGCCCAATCTTGGGGTGCACCCTGCAATAGTGAAATTAAAAATCCCACTTTCACTGATTCCGTTAGGAAGGTGCGGGTTGCAATTCAAAAAACAGGAGGCAGGAATCCCGAAAAGACCTGAAGCGTGTTCGGTCCCCGTGAAAACGCTCAGGTAGTGGTACTCGGGGTTCAACAACCCTCGGTAGAGGAGCAGAGGCCCCTGAAGCTGGCCCCAGAGCTTTCTTCCACCGGGGGAGCGGAAACAGGGGCCTGTGGAGCAGGGCAGATGCAGAGCGGGTCTGGAAACGGTTTTCCAGGTGCGTGCATTTGTCCTGCAAGGTTGCCACAGCCTGTGTCAAGGGCTGATAGGTGCCTGCAAATATCTCCCAGCGGGGCTGACCCTCCTCCAGGCTCAGTCATGGCCTTCTGGTACTGTAAGGGACCACCAGGCGGGTACCACTAGCACTCCACTGGCCAGGTGTCCCCAGCGCACGGTATCTAAGCCCCAGGGTACGTGTTCACCAGAGCCCCTGATGGTGGGGGATGGACTTGAAGTACCCCGAAAACACCAGGTCGTGGCTACTGAGCTCGCTGTCAGTGGTAGCGGTATTCGCCAGGGGCTCCCGCAGGGAAGAGCCTGATGTGAGGAGGTCGGGTGATCCCCGTCGGGATGGATGGCTGAGCAAGTGCGGGGTCAAACGGGCCGGGTCGGTAACAGTGGGGACGGAGCATACAAGGCCAGGTCTCAGTGCCCGCATTCTGACACGGGGCAGTGCACTGCGCCTGCGCCGAGCCCGTCGCAGCGGGAATTCCTGACAGATTGCTAAACAAAGACCTGAGTAGCAGATACTTCACTTTAGATGCCACATTTAACTAGTGAGTTCACAGAGGCTGTCACATAGAATGCAATGCTAGACTTGCTTTTTAGAAAGTGCAGTGTACTTTGCAAGTTATCATGGATATACCCTGAAATAATTGTTTTTGTTTCTCACAAATTAAACATAGCTAAAATGTTATTAATCATCATTTTAAAAATGTATAAATCTGCAAAAAAATGGACTTAAAACATTTTAATACCCTTCAAGGTTGCTTAAATGTTTTATTCTATAGCCAGTCTGGGCTACTTTTACTTTTTGTTTTTATCAATATGTATCCTCCCAGCCTATCACTGGGCAGCTAGCCAAGTGGTATTGACTAGAGAAGTTATAAATATTTTGGACAACCTTCCAGAGTGTTATCTTCTCCTCTGGGATTCTTACCAGTGACAAGCATGCTGGAAGTCCTCTTCCATGCTCGATTTCTGCCCAGAGGTTTCTGTGCTGAAGATCCCTGTTGTCCTGGGTCTTTGTATGGAGGAATTTTGCTTAGGAACTCTCCATGTTCAGAGAATGCAGCTAACAGGAATAGTACCTGCAGCTGTCCATGTAGAAGAAGTTGATTTGAACCGGCCGACAGATAGAAACAGACAAACCTTCTAAGATGACCTGGAAGTGCAGTTAGAGTAGTCAAATAGACACCAGAACCTTGGCTTTGGAGGATCCTGTCCAACTGTAATCCTCTATGTGTGCATAAGGCCTGTAGGAGGGAAGTTGCTAATGTGTAGAAGATATTGCTGTTTGGTATACTCTGTTACCTTACCCTCCCTCTCTAAGGCCCCTTTCAGATGGGGTGGACTCCATCAAGAGGATCAGCCTGCTCAGTGGGGGATCTCTCCACTGATCCTGACTGAGCAGGCAGATGGCAGGTCCATGTCCACTTCGCTATGCAGAGCAGACACAGATACAGCCCGCTGTTTGCTATGGGGCGGCTGGATGGAAACAGACTGCCTGTTCAATTCAATCCAACTGTCATCTGATCCGATCCACTGGATGGATTGGGAACTGATCCCCATCTGTATGTTTTTAGTATACAGGATCAGACTGGATGCCAGCAGGTGCCAGTGGACACATGTTTGCTGACACTCGCCGCTCCATAGAGAGCAATAGATGGTCCAATCGGGTCTGCCTGAAAAGCTGAGAGGCAGACCCGATCAGTGTGAAAGGGACCTAAAAGTGCCTTATAAAAATGTTTATAATTTACTAAAGTAATTACACCCATGTTTTTGCTACCATTACATGCCAATGATCCAGCCCTATTAGTTAAATGTGCTTTGGAGTGTTACGTTGGAGCCTTTAAGACAGCCAAAGGCAGAGCGGGTTGTGGGAAAGAAAGTTGCTTGATTCCCCCATCAACACTGATCAACACTCCCTTCTGTGGAGACATTGTGTTCTTCCGGCATGGGATGAGCAGTCCCTGCTGGGAGAACACAGTGATTACTGCTAGAGGCTATAATAGTCACAAGCAATAATTGCATCTAAAATCCGACAGGCTGCTTATCCTAAGTTGATTGTCCGATCAACTTATGTTCATTCAGCCTGCCCATACATGTTTTGAATCATCTGCTGAACCAGCTGAGATTCAAACCATGCATGTGCAACCAACCAGTTGGTAATAGTATTACTAATACAGTGCAAAGCAACTGACTCTCCAGAGATAGGGTTATCCAAAAAACTGATTAGCAACTCAGTCCACTCAAAACTGTGATTTTAGATGTGGATGGATTCTGCTGTAATCATTTATTCAGTGACCATTAATTCAACTCAACAGCATCTACCCAGTAGATTATTATTTTTTTACTGGTGTGAAGATAACGATTACATTTGACCATACATGATTTTTATCAAATCTGTAACTTCCAGACAGTGCGCGCCTGGCCACCAAGCATTGAAAACAACAAAAGTGCTTACAATACAAGCTCTAGATCAAGGCCTTTCTTGCCAATCAGAAAGGTTGGAGGGCATCTTTGTTCCCTAGCCATGTTTGCTAACCTGTTGTATTATGTACTGTAGTTTATTACAGTTTTCATTGTTTAAATATTAACATCTGACACACAGAAAGGATCCTGTTTAGAATATTTATCTGGAATATACCTGGGGTTATATCTTATCTGGGTACCACTGTGGATTTTCAGGATTGTGTTTTATTGTGGGTTTTCCTGACTTTTCCTGCAGCGTACAAGGACATAGAGAGAGCATATGTTAGTTTGTATATGTGTATATGCATTCTTGTCTGTCTGCATGAGATAGAGTTTGTATGATCTACGCTCAGACTTTATTTAGAGGTAGAAGGAGTAGCAAGTATTGTGGACTATCTTAAAGACGCGTGTGATTCGTTTCATTACAAATATAAATTCTGCCAAAATTTTCGTTATTCAGAAATTCGTATGTATCCAAATATCTGAATTTACAATAGTAATGAAATTCACTGAATCTGACATACATTATAACGAAACACATTTATTTATATTTATTTGTTTTGTTTGGACCTTATGTTAATGTTTGAAGCATCCGAAAAATGTAATGACATAACGAATAATTCAAATTGATTTGGATCCATTTCATTTTTATGCTGCATTAACATTTTTATTATTATAAAAAATGCAATAAATATGAAGTGCAAACATATTGCAATAAACACACAGTTTGACTGCTTTTACGCTGCTTGCAATAATGTGGCAAAAATGCATATGTGTTTTTGCTGCATTTTTGTTGTAGTGTGTGACATCATCTATACATTTTTGCCGTATTTGCTTTGCGTTTTTTCCCTGAACATGTGACTGGACAAAGCACTTTCGGCAGGTGTGTTCCATTTTTTATGTGTTTTTGCAGCGGTTTTCATTCATTTCAATGGAGAGGTGAATTTTTGTTGCGTTTTTTACTGTACCAAACATGCACCAAAAATGCAGCAAGCAGGACTTTTAAAAACTCAACTGCAATGCAAAGGATCAGTGTGAAGAGTTCCATAAGATTTAACCACTTCCTGTCCGACCCATGTATATAAACGGCTGGACAGGAGCAGTGCAGGAGCGGGTTGCTGTTCATAAACAGCACCCATCATTTTAGCCTGTGCGCGCTCCCTGGGAGCATGCGGCACCGCGATCCGGTGCCTGCTGTGTCCGGAGGACACAGCGGAACACTGATCGTTGTACGAGACCCAGGGGCGGACTGACCATTTGGAAACTGGAGCACTGCCCGAGGGCTCGGGGTCAGTAGGGGGCCCCATGAGATGCCCCTGGTACATTTTTTCATAGGCTTTTTGAGTTTGGGCAAGGACACAGGGGACCCATGATCCCCTATTGCCCGGGGGCCCCATGAGTTGTCATTCCGCCCCTGATGAGACCTCTGTGTGAGGTGTCAATCATGTGATCACTGATTGGCCAATCAGTGTTCACATGAATGGTAGTAAGCAAGATGTCACTTCTGACATCAATGCTTACTACGTGAGATCACATGATAAAAGGCTATTCACAACAGCCTTGTACCATGTGACAAGCTGTGACAAATCACAGCCCTCACAGTATTTCTCAATGGCTGCAAAAATGCAGCCAGAGAGAAAGAGAAATGATTGCTTTTACAGCCTTTATGGGTGTAAAAGCAATCAGTATAAAAAAAAAAAAATCTTCATCACCCCCCACAAGTAGTACAGTGTCACTATGGTGACAGTATGTTAAAAAAAAAACAAAACAATAATATAAAAAAATAAAATAAAAATGTAAATAAAATGTTTGAAAAATTATAATTTTTGGTTAAACTAATTTGGGTTATTTTTTTTACTAAAAAGATAACTGAATACATTTTGGCCAAGATTTATGAAGACAGATCATTTATTTGCAAAATCTTATAAGAAAAACACTTTTTTTCAAATTTTTTGGACTTTCATTTATATAGCAAAAAAAAAAAAAAAATCCCAGTGGTGAATAAATACCACCAAAATAAAAGTTTTCTCTGTCTCAAAAAAAATGCTAAATAATTCATATGGGTACAGTGTTGCATGACAGCACAATTGTCATTCAAAATGTGACAGCACTGAAAGCTGAAAATTGGCCTGGACAGGAAGGGGGTAAAAGTGAACGGACTTGAAGTGGTTAAAGAGATGCAATTTTCATGCATTTTTCTTCCACTTTTTTTTTTTTTTACTAAAATACTGATCAGTGTGAAAGGACCCTTATTGTATTTGGGTTGGATGGAGGTGGATCCATCAGAATCTCTAAATCATAACATAATGAATGAATTTGAAATTTATTTAATTCCATTCTTTATGTTATGATTCAGAGATTCTGATGGATCCACCTCCATCCAACCCAAACATATGTAATCTCTCAAAATTATTAACATATTAGAACCAACATAGCTAATCTTCCAAAATAAGTTCCGTAATACAAATCAATTCACAACAAGAAATATACAAAACAAATACAAAAAAAATCTGAACATACGAAACAAATTCTGAAAACGAAGCATTCTAACATAATGAATATGATGAAACAAAATGATTAACTTAACGAAAGAATCCGAAACTAAACAAATTTTTCAATCGTGCACATCTCTACTACCTTTTTTGTTATGGCAGCAAAAAGGTTGACTGATGGTCCCAAAGTAAATTTTTGCTTTTAAGTTAATTTTAAAAAGGTATTGTACAGATATTTTTTTAGATATTCAGTATTGTATAAAGTCTCACCACCAGGGTTCACATGGATGCAGTGCAACCAACCAGCACGCTCAATTTCGTTATTGCCATTGATTGCAATAAATAGAGATCAGCAATTGGATTCTCACACTTAACTGCACCGTTTGAGATTGTATACTTTGTGAATTTACTTACAAAAACACTTGGAAAGTTGTCTACTGTTGGTGTGACATGGTGCCAAGTTTCATAACTTACAGTCAGGTCCATAAATATTGGGACATCAACATAATTCTAACATTTTTGGCTCTATACACCACCACAATGGATTTGAAATAAAACAAACAAGATGTGTTTTAACTGCAGACTGTCAGCTTTAATTTGAGGGTATTTATATCCAAATCAGGTGACCGGTGTAGGAATTACAACAGTTTGCATATGTGCATCCCACTTGTTAAGGGACCAAAAGTAATGGGGCAATTGGCTTCTCAGCTGTTCCATGGCCAGGTGTGTGTTATTCCCTCATTATCCCAATTACAATGAGCAGATAAAAGGTCCAGAGTTCATTTCAAGTGTGCTATTTGCATTTGGAATCTGTTGCTGTCAACTCTCAAGATGAGATCCAAAGAGCTGTCACTATCAGTGAAGCAAGCCATCATTAGGCTGAAAAAACAAACCCATCAGAGAGATAGCAAAAACATTAGGCGTGGCCAAAACAACTGTTTGGAACATTCTTAAAAAGAAGGAACGCACCGGTGAGCTCAGCAACACCAAAAGACCCGGAACACCACGGAAAACAAACTGTGGTGGATGACCGAAGAATTCTTTACCTGGTGAAGAAAACACCCTTCATAACAGTTGGCCAGATCAAGAACACTCTCCAGGAGGTAGGTGTATGTGTGTCAAAGTCAACAATCAAGAGAAGACTTCACCAGAGTGAATACAGAGGGTTCACCACAAGATGTAAACCATTGGTGAGCCTCAAAAACAGGAAGGCCAGATTAGAGTTTGCCAAACGACATCTAAAAAAGCCTTCACAGTTCTGGAACAACATCCTATGGACAGATGAGACAAAGATCAACTTGTACCGGAGTGATGGGAAGAGAAGAGTATGGAGAAGGAAAGGAACTGCTCATGATCCTAAGCATACCACCTCATCAGTGAAGCATGGTGGTGGTAGTGTCATGGCGTGGGCATGTATGGCTGCCAATGGAACTGGTTCTCTTGTATTTATTGATGATGTGACTGCTGACAAAAGCAGCAGGATGAATTCTGAAGTGTTTCGGGCAATATTATCTGCTCATATTCAGGCAAATGCTTCAGAACTCATTGGACGCCGCTTCACAGTGCAGATGGACAATGACCCAAAGCATACTGCAAAAGCAACCAAAGAGTTTTTTAAGGGAAAGAAGTGGAATGTTATGCAATGGCCAAGTCAATCACCTGACCTGAATCCGATTGAGCATGCATTTCACTTGCTGAAGACAAAACTGAAGGGAAAATGCTCCAAGAACAAGCAGGAACTGAAGACAGTTGCAGTAGAGGCCTGGCAGAGCATCACCAGGGATGAAACCCAGCGTCTGGTGATGTCTATGCGTTCCAGAGTTCAGGCTGTAATTGACTGCAAAGGATTTGCAACCAAGTATTAAAAAGTCAAAGTTTGATTTATGATTATTTTTCTGTCCCATTACTTTTAACAAGTGGGAGGCACATATGCAAACTGTTGTAATTCCTACACTGTTCACCTGATTTGGATGTAAATACCCTCAAATTAAAGCCGACAGTCTGCAGTTAAAGCACATCTTTTTCTTTTCATTTCAAATCCATTGTGGTGGTGTATAGAGCCAAAAATGTTAGAATTGTGTCAATGTCCCAATATTTATGGACCTGACTGTATATCCCAATATATTAAAAATCTGAAACAGATTGACTTACTCTATCCTACATGCAAATAGAATGTGGTAAACATTTGCTTGCCTTTAGTTTAGGTATTTTGCTTTGCAGATTGTTGAGGATTTTTTTACCCTGAGAATATGACTGCATGTCTAACTGCCCATGCTTGACTAAGGACTGTCCATGTGACCATTCAGTGGTACCAGGCTAACTTCATAGACCATATCCTACAAGTTCAGTTCATTCCACATCTATTCATCTACTCTTTCTTCTCAGTAACTGTGTATCTGTTTTTATTCATTTGTAATGTATATGGAGTACATTTTTCAATTCCTATACAGCTATTATTTCAGCAATCCATACTCTGACTCATAGAACACCATTATCATATCCTACTATGACCTCCATTCACCTACCATCTCATCTGTCTTCCACCTGTGCTCTTTAGAGTCCAGCTTCATAGCTATGAATGTGTAATCAATTCATAAATCATCTTTTGTCATGAGTCACTTCTTGCAATGTGCTCATAGTCATGTACATGTATTAGGATGGGGAAACAAATATTTTAAGTTGGCCTTACACATTATTCTGATTTATTAAATGTAGATAAAAAGTAGAAATGTTGTCGGGGTCATATCCCTAAAGCATAGTGCATGTGGTATTTTAATTACCATGTATTATTTCGAAAACATTTTTGCAACCATAAGCTATGTTTTGAATTCATTAAATGCTAAATTTACCTAAAAATGCAAAATATACAAAACACAAAGGGCAATACTTTTCCACACTGATGTGCCCCTTGTGTTTTTGTCTTCTAGTTCAGTAGTAATCTTCCTCCTCCCATGTCCCCCCACCCTTTCTCCCGTAATCCCCCCGGTGTGGAAGGGGTTAACAGAACCAAGGCACTCATCAACAGTATCTGACTATGGCTGCCCTTTCCACCCAGCTCCTCCATTCATAGCTGCTGCACTATAGTTTTTATGAATGAAACTCAAACTATGAATGGAGGGGGGGACCTTTCAATCATCTTCCATTTATTGATCATGTTCCTTTCACAGATGATATAGTTTTTTTCAGCTAAACTAATGCATGTATTTGCAGAATTTAGTGTATGCACATTACAGCAGAACTTTACCCATAACAACTTGATAAAAAAAAGTGATGTTCTTTAGCAAGGAACATACATTTCACATTAATAATTACAGTGCTCACCATAAATGAGTTCACTCCTTTTGAAATGTAAGATTTTAATCAATGTCTCAATGAAGGCAAGAACAGTTTCAAAAAATTTTGACAAAACGGAGTTATTTAAAACATTTATTTAGCTCATTACATGACAGTAATATTAGTAATATAATTTAAAAAATCTTCAGTTTTACTTAAATTAGTTGATGCAAAAATGAATACAACCCACAACAAAAACTACTACATCTAGTATTTTGTATGACCTCCATGATCTGTAAGCATCAAGTCTTCTAGGCCAGCGTTTTTCAACCACTGTGCCGCGGCACACTAGTGTGCCGTGAGATATTGTCTGGTGTGCCGTGGGAAAAATTCCAATTTCATCTGTAACATGTGGCTTCGGCTCACAAATAGACCAATCATTAGAATCTAATGATTCAGTGGTCGGCAAGCCGCGGCTCGCGAGCCACATGCGGCTCTTTACCCAGTCTAATGCGGCTCTTCTGTGTGCCGGGCGCCTGCTCCCCTCCCTCCTCTCGGTCGGCCGCTCCCCTGCCTCCTCTCGGTTGGCAGCCCCAAAAGTCCGCGCGGACCTTTTAATCCGGCTTGCGGATGTGGCTGTCAGGATGTGTGTAGGCGGGGCAGCGTGCCGAACGTGAGGGGAGGGGAGCTAGGCTCCTCTCACAGTCCGCCCTGAAGACCCGAACGGCGCGGGAAGACAGCGAGAGGAACGCAAAAGGTAAGTGAATTGACACGGGGGACTTGGCTTACTAGAAGGGGGGGGGGGGGAATAGTACTGTGGGGGA